GCCGAAGAGAGCCCCCAGACGAGTTCGAGAGGGGTCCCAGACTGAGAAAGCCAACCTCGAATTCCGAGCTTCCGGCCCAAGAGGCTCCAGGAGGCGCCAAAATGCCGCCAAGAGGCGCCAAAAGGCTCCCAAAAGCACCCCAAGACGTTCCGAGAGGCACCCCAAGAGAGGTCCAAGAAACAAAAATCGTGCCATTCCTATGGGGAAACGTATATTTTTCGCATGTTCGCATCTTGGGCTTTCACCGCGTCCAAGACGGCCCAAGAGGCCTCCAAGACGGCCTAGGAGGCCTCCGGGAGCGCTCCAAGGCTGCGCACGAGTGGCTCAGGACGGCCCCAAGACGGCCCAAGAGAACCCCAAGACGACTTCGAGAGGGGTCCCAGAAGGAGAAAGCCACTCTCGAATTCCGAGCTTCCGGCCCAACATATCCCAGGAGGCGCCAAAACGCCGCCCAGAGGCGCCAAAAGGCTTCCAAAATCAGCCCAAGACGTTCCGAGAGGCACCCCAAGAGAGGTCCAAGAAACAAAAATCGTGCCATTCCTATGGGAAAACGTATATTTTTCGCATGTTCGCATCTTGGGCTTTCACCGCGTCCAAGACGGCCCAAGAGGCCTCCAAGACCGCCCCAAGACGGCCCAAGAAGCTTCCAAGAGGGCCCCAGGACAGCCCAAGAGGGCCCCAAGACGGCCCAAGAGGCGCCCAAGATGGCCCAAGAGGGCCCCAAGACGGGCCCAAGAGGGGGCCCAGAGGGGGACCACGAACCGCAAGCTCGAGCCTTCCGCCCCAAGAGGCCGCCAGGAGGCCCCAAGGAGGCCCCTCAAGAGGCCCCAGGAGACCCCCAAGAGGCCCAAAGGAGGCCCCGAGAAGCCCCAAATCGGCCCCCAAAATGCTTCGAACCTGCTTCCAGGAGGCCCCCGACAGGTTCAGAGGCTCCCGAGAAGCTACGTCAAACTCCCAGCGAGCGGCCGGACGAGGCCCCCCACAAAATCACAAGAGGGTTCCAGTATTTGTATCCTTCAGCGCTCTCTGGCCTTCTTCCCCCTGCCCCCTTCCCTGCGACTTTCGTTGACTCAAGCTCGCCTCCTAGCTAGAACCTAAGCGCGCGCGAAGCGCGCGCGTGGTTCTAGTCTATATATATACACACTTAAACATAAACACAGACATACTCATAACATAATTCGGCACGCACCTAGGCATACACATCTACATAGGCATACACATGTACATATACATATACAGCTTCAGATACATATACAGAGACATACGCCATCCTTGTGGGGGTTGTGAAGTGCGAGGCTGTCGCCACATTCGAGGGCTGCTGGGGGGTCCAGCGGAGTGACGCCATTCAGATTAGACCTCGCCATCCCTGGGTGGCTGTGATCTGCGAAAATTTCGCCACACTCGAGGGCCGTTGGGGGATCCAGTGGAGTGATGCTTTACGCAGATTCAGATTAAACCTCGCTATTCCCTGGGGGGCTGCGATCTGCTAAACTGTTGCCACTTTCGGGGGCTGCCGTGGGGTCCAGCGGAGCGACGCCTTACGCAGATTCAGATTCGACCTCGCCATTCCCTGTGGGGCTGCGAAGTGCGACACCGTCGCCACATTCGAGGGCTGCTGGGGGGTCCAGCGGAATGCTGCCTTACGCAACTTCAGATTCGACCTCGCCGTCCTTGTGGGGCTCCGAACCGCGAGGCTCTCGCAATTTTCGAGGGCTGCTAGGGGGTCCGGCTGAGTGACGCCTTGCGCAGATTCAGATTCGACCTCGCCGTCCCTGGGGTGGTGCGAATTGCGATATTCTAGCCACATTCGAGGTCTGGAGGGGTTCAGAGTGATGCCTCGCCCAGACTCATGCCGAGGTCCTGGCGTCCACGGCCTGCCACGGCCGGCCCATGCACCGCGGAGTCATTGTCGACGCCGGGCGCAAGGACGAGAGAGCAATGTACGACATCTGACTGCATCTTTAAGCGGTGCTATCCAGGGCGACGACGGTGGACAACCTGCCGATGATGCGCGACCGATGCGGAGAAACTGGCGTGCGAGTTAGGCCTCGCTTGGTTCTTGCACCAGCTGTAAAACACATGGTACCTTGGAGCTTGGAACGCCAGGGCGACATTGCGATGGCTGCGATGCGTGCCCAGCTTGTTTCTGGAAGAGTCGTATCCGTTCATTTTCATATTGCCCTTTTCGTTGTCGTTTTCTCCTTCTTCTTCTTCTTCTTCTTCTTGTTTTTTCCACCGTCTCCCGGATGCTGCCGCGGTGACTTGTCGGTTTCGGTCGTGCCCTTTTTTCTTCTCTTGCCCCTCGTCCCCGCCCCCTTCCCTTTACGAGCATGGGGCTTCCGTCCCCGTCCTTGTGTTGCTATCCAATGAGCCGTTCATCGCGCGCGCTTCCGTTTAGCTTGCGCAGCGCACCTTCGCTGTCGGTGTTCATGCAAGTTTGGGCCAACACGTCTTGTCACTTGATGCGAGTGGGTTGGGTACGTCACGGGGCACTTGCCCCGCGAATGGTCCTTTTTACGGGGGCGTTGGCACCAATTCAGGTCTTCGGGCCTTATCGACGCGCACTTGGGGCGCTCTTGGTTGTCTTCGGGGCTGTGTTGGAGCCTTGAGGGTCCCTCTTCGGACTTTCGCGGGCGACCTTTGCGTCATCCTGAGATTCCAATGCCCGTCGGAAGCGGTGAGGCGAGGAGGCAACAATGATTCAGCACGCATGTTTACAGAATCCCCAACCCACCTGCGTTGGATGGTTGTTTTTGAATACAGCGCTACCGTTGCTCCTTCTTCCTCCCGCCTCCCTCCCTCGTGTCCTCCCTTCTGCCTTTTGCCTCCTCTTCTTCCTCCTCCTCCTTTCCGGTTCTTCCTGCCAGCCTGCCTCTTTTGCCTTGCCTGCCACCTTGCCTTTTACCTCGTTGTCCTACGTGACCTCACCATCCCTGGGGGCTACGAAGTGCGACGCAGGCGCCATTTTCGAGGGCTACTGGGGGGGTCCACGGGGGGGGGCGCCCTACGCAGATCCAGGCCCGGCCTCGTCATCCCCTGGGGGCTGCGAAGTGCGACGCGGTCGCCGGTTTCGAGGGCTGCTGGTGGGTCCAGCGGAGTGGTGCCTAACGCAGACTCGGGTCAGAACTCGCCGCCTTGTTGGGGGGCTGGGAGCTGCAATCACGTCGCCAGTTTCGAGGGCTACTGGGGGGGTCCAGCGGAGTGCCGCCTCACGCAGGTTCAGATTCGACCTCGTCGTCCTTGGGGGCTGCGAAGTGCGACGCCGTCGGCAATTTCGGGCGCCGCTGGGAGGGGGTCAGCAGAGTAATGCCGCCTTACGCATGTTCAGATTCACCTCGCACTTCCGGGGGGGCTGCGATGTGCGACGTTGCCACCAGTTTCGAGGGCTGCGGGGGGGTCCACTGGAGTTTTGCTTCACGCAGATTAATGCTAGACCTCGTCATGTTTTTGTGGTGCAGATCTGTGAGCCTGTCGTCACTTTCGAGGGTTGCTGTGGGGTCAGCGGAGTGACGCCTTACGCATATCCAGATGACATTCACCATCATTGGGGGGCCGCGAACGGCGAATCTGTCGCCACCTTCGAGGGCCCTTGGGGGCCCAGCGGAGCGACGCCATACGCACAACTAGACTCGACCTCGCCATCCTTGTGGTGTAGCGAAGTGCGACGCTGTCGCCGCTTTCGGGCGCCGTTGGGGGGTCCAGCGAATTTACTCCTTACGGAGGTCCAGATTCGACCTCGCCATTCCCTGGGGGGCTAGGAAATGCGACGTTGTCGCCACTTTCGAGGGTTGCTGTGGGGTCCAGCGGAGCGACGCCTTACGCGGACTCAGATTCGAACTCGCCGTCCCCGTGGGGCTGCGAAGTGCGATACCGTCGCCAGTTTCGATGGCTGCTGGGGGGTCCAGCGGATTGACGCTTTACGCATATTCAGATTCGTTCTCGCCGTCCCTGGGGGGCCGGGAATTGCGAAATTGTCGCCACATTCGAGAGCTGCTGGGGGCTGGTCCAGCGGTGTGACGCCTTACGCAGATTCAGATTTGACCTCGCCGTCCATGGGGAGCTGCGAAATGCGACACCGTCGCCACTTTCGAGGGCTGCTCGGGGGTCCAGCGGAGTGACGCCTTACGCAGACTCATAATTGATCTCACCGTCTTTGGGGGTCTGCGAAGGGCAACGCCGTCATCAATTTCGAGGGCTGCTGGGGGGTCCAGCAAAGTGATGCTTTACGCAGATTGAGATTCGAACTCGCCATCCCTACGAGGCCGCAAATCGGAACCTGTCGCCACATTCGAGGGCTGCTGGGGGGTCAGCAGAGTGACCCCTTGCGCAGATGCATATTCGACCTCTCCATCCCTGGAGGGCTGCGAAGTGCGACACTGCTTTCGAGGGCTGCTGGGGGCTCCAGCGGAGTGGCGCCTTACGCAGACTCAGATTCGAACTCGCCGTCCCTGGGGTCAGCAGTCTGCGAGACCGTCGCCACTTTCGAGGGCTGCTAGGGGGTCCAGTGGATTAACGCTTTACGCATATTGAGATTCGTCCTCGCCGTCCCTGGGGGGCTGCGAAGTGCGACGCCGTCGCCACTTTCGAGGCCTGCAGGGGGTTCCAGCAGAGTGACGCCCTGCGCAAAGGGCGTCGGAGTTTCAGGGTGCAGTTTGCCATCGGCGTCGTCGGGGCTTCAGGGGTCACAGCACTGCGCCGGAGGTTCGAGGAACCAGCATTGCGCCGGAGCTTCGAGGAGCCCTCGTCGGGGCGCGGCGGAGATCGGAGTTGCAATGACGGTATTGATGGGTTTGTAGTGTTGCTGATGGCGGCGGGCAGAAGTAGTGGGTGCTGCCCCTCGTGGCGCTCCTTTCTGACCCTTGCTGCTTGTGGACCGCGGTGGCCCCTTGGAGTCATGTGCCAATTCATCGCCCCACACGTAAACTTATGAGGGGGGAGAGGAGCAGGAACAGGTTCATAGTTTGCGTAGTCACGGCTGGTCGGTCAGCTTGGCCGGGTGTTTATGTACCACAGCTATCGCTCTATGCAGCTCAGCGTCGAATGCCCGTTTGGTTTCGTCGGTTCCATGTGTAATTGTTAACTTCGGCGTCTCGGAGCATTGCGGCTCAGGCTTCTGTAGTGCAGTCCGCATACACGTACACGTGGTATATCGCACACGCAGGCAATCTCTTTTTGTGCCGTTCTGTCGGATGGCAGTCAAGAAGGCACGCCTGACCTTGCGCTGGGTGGTGCCGCTTCTCTGCAGCCTACCCACCGCGACTTCCATCAGCGCGGGAGTGAACATCAGCACCCATGAGAATCTCCGCACGGAGGCTGAGCGATCGGCGTGCGCGGCATACGCTGGGGAGTACCAGGTGTGGTATCAGGGTGAGCAGCGCTCTACGAACATGTTCATTTATTGCGACTGCACCGTGACGCAGCCTGGAATTTTCACTGATAGCCTTCGTTTCACTAGTGTGTCGTCCCAGTGCCCCCTCCTCCCCTCGTCTCAGTTCTACAATGAACTCGCACGGGCCTGGCAAGTACGAGTGCTTGTTTCAGAGTGGCACTATGATCGCAGGCAATCATTACACCAGCTGGAACGCATACTGGGGCACTATCGAGTACCGGCTGATACGCCGCGACTCCTCTTGCAACCCTTTCACGGTCGACTGCACAGGTCGCACTTACAACAACCAGGTGGCATACTGCCAGTCGCAGGGATTGTCCATCGCCAGTATCCACAACAATGCCGACAACAACGCGGTCTTGAGCTTGCTCCAATCTCAGGGATGCAACGCGTACATCGGTGCTGAGTCCAACGGAGCCGGCACCTGGTCGTGGAGAGACGGCACACCATGGGACTACGTCAGTCCGCTGAACGACGGGCTCACTGGTTACAGCGAGACAAAGATTGCGTACCTTTCTGACGGTTGGTGGCACGATTGGCAAACGGGGAATTCTATTCACGGTGTGGTGTGCCAGGGCGTAGCGTCAACGCCCAGCCCGACGCCCTACCCGACGCCATACCCGACACCCTACCCCACGCCCTACCCGACGCCTTACCCGACGCCCTACCCGACGCCGAACCCGACGCCGAACCCGACGCCGAATCCGACGCCGAACCCGACGCCGAGCCCGACGCCGAACCCGACGCCGAACCCGACGCCTTACCCGACGCCTTACCCGACGCCGTACCCGATGCCGAACCCGACGCCGTACCCGATGCCGTACCCGACGCCGAACCCGACGCCGAACCCGACGCCGAACCCGACGCCGTACCCGACGGCCTTCCCGACGACGTACCCGACGCCGTACCCGACGCCTTTCCCGACGCCCTTCCCGACGCCCGTCCCGACGCCTTTCCCGACGCCCCGACTTCTTTCCCGACGGCCTTCCCGACGGCCTTCCCGACGTCCTTCCCGACGCCTTTCCCCACGCTTTTCCCCACGGCATACCCGACGGCCTTCCCGACGGCCAGCCCGACTCCTAGCCCGACGTATCCTCCTGGTTGGCCGACGCCACATCCGACGTTTCCGCCTGCAGCTCCCATGGCGGGCGGAGCTAGCGCCGGCGTGGCTGCCACTGGCGACCCCCACCTTCAATACCTTCATGGTGAGCGGTTCGACTTGATGAAGGTGGGGCAACACGTTTTGATAAGCATCCCTCGTGGAATGGGCGCTGAAGACGCATTTCTTCGTGTGCAGGCCGATGCGCGCCGGTTGGGTGGACATTGTGCCGATATGTACTTCCAAGAAGTGAACATCACAGGGTTTTGGGCAGAGGCCAAACAAGTGGGAGGGTATCATTACCGCGCATTGCAAAGTCCAGTCGAGATTCCGCAGTGGGTTGCGTTTGGTCCGGTTCAGCTGAAAGTCGTTCATGGACGTATTGACGGTGGCCATTTGTATCTAAATGTCTACGCGAAGCATTTGGGACGAGCAGGGTTTGCCGTTGGAGGTCTGCTGGGGGAGGACGACCACGAAGACGTAATGCATTCCCCAGCGGCATGTGCGGAGCGTGTGTCTCTTTCGCGCGTCCAGTCGGAAGCACGCGGCCCTGACCCCACTAGGGCCTCAGTTGGTGTAGCGACCTTCGCCTGACGGGGCCGTAGCTACCGCGCTGATGTTTCTTTTCTTGGGCCTCCTAAAACAAGTTTTCTGGTCCCAGAGCATGGCTCTACGGCTCCCAGAGCCGAGCGAGCTATGCACCGTGCCGTGTTGGAGCGGGGCCTGAACGGAGTCCAGACATGTGCATGGGCTCCGTTCTCTTCCAGAGAAGAAGGCCGCCTCGTCATCGTGTGCCTGATGACTGACGTGGTCGTAACCGTCGCCAGTATGTTTCTGTCCTTGACCTGAATGAAGCCAGGGACCCTTCCAGCACACCCTCAAGGGTCCTTCTTCCAGGGATCCTTGGGTTTCCCATGAGAAGGGTACCTCGAAGAACCCTTCATGGGGCACTGGACCCTCGAGGAGAGGCCCATGAAGGTGCGCCTCAAGGCACAGCTTAGATTGCACCACGCAGATTGCACCTCCTCGGTTCTCCTTTCTAAAAGACTAATAGATTCTACCCCCCCCCCCGGACTTATCGGGTCCCCCGCGCGTGCTGTAATTTACATATGATTCTGACCACATGTCCATCCTAAATGTGAATTCGTACCATCCCAGCCAAGCCGGGTTCCCCCCCCTGCGGTTCCCTTGTAAAAAACACTATGCGGTGACATGTTTTGTTCTAACATATCACTGTTTCACGAATCCCTTGCAACAAATGGGACGAAGTGCACACGCGCGCGTCGTGGCGCGCGCATGCCGAAATCCTTTAAAAACCTTCGGTTCCGGAGAGATGTCAAACTTGAATTCCCAAAAAACATATAAAACACATGGTTTCGCAACACTGATTAAAAAAAAAACTTACGCGCGAGCTCTTGCGGAATCTTAAGAAAACCATAGGTTTTCCAAGATTTCACAAAATGCTACCAAACGGGCTTCGCGCGCGCGCATGTCGAAATCTGTCGAACGCTCTTGCGCGTGTGCCGTCGCGAGAATCCTCTGCAAAAAATGGGACGAAGTGCAGACGCGCGCGTCGTCGCGGGCGTATGCCGAAATCCTTCAAAAAACCTTCGGTTTCGGAAAAATGTCGAAATCGTGCGTCCAAAAAACCTACAAAAACACAAGCTTTCGCAACACGGGTTTTCAACAAAATTGTGCGCGCGCGCTCTTGTCGTCGTCGTCGTCGTCCTCCCTCCTCCCTCGTCGTCGTCGTCGTCGTCGTCGCCGTCGTCGTCTTCTGTCTTTCCTCGTCGTCTTTGGCGTCGTCGTCGTTTCCGTCGTCGTTGTCGCCGTGGTCGTCCTTCCTCCCTCGTTGTCTTCGTCGGCGTCTCGTCGTTGTCCCTCCTATTTCGTCGCCGTCGTCGTCGTCGTCGTCGTCGTGGTCTTCACTCCTCCCTCGTCGTTATCCTCCTCCCTCGTCGTCGTCGTCCGTCGTCGGCGTCTCGTCGTCGTCCCTCCTATTTCGTCGCCGTCGTCGTCGTCTTCGTCGTCGTTGTCATCGTCGTCGTCTTCCCTCCTCCCTCGTCGTTGTCGTCGTCGGCGTCGCCGTCCTTCCTCCTTCTTCGTCGTTGGCGTCGTCGCCGTCTTCCCTCCTCCATCGTCGTTGTCGTCGTTGTCGCCGTCGTCGTTTTTTCTCCTCCCTCGTCGTCGTCTCCGTTGGCGACGTCGTCGTCGTCGTCTTCGTCGTCGTCGTCGGCGTCGTTGTCGTCGTCGTCGGTGTCGTCGTCGTCGTTGTCGTCGTCGAAAACATTGGAGACGTCGTCGGTGTCGTCGCAGTCGCTGTCGGCGGCGCCGTCGTCGTCGATGTCGCTGTCGTCGTCGGCATCGGTGTCGTGGCCAAGTGCCACGCAGTACCTACCGTCACGGTCTTGTCTGAAGATGTCTTGCGACCAAGTTGCGGGTGGGAGGGTGGGATGTTTGCACGAGCAGTGGAGAGGACAGCTTCAAGACAGTCGAAGTGGATTGCACCACGTAGACTGCGCACCACATAAACTGCACCACAAAGATTGCACCACGGACCACGTAGATCGCTCCACTAATATTGCACACTTTTACAGATGCAGATTACACAACCCATGTTGCACGACGCAGATTGCACCACAGCTATTGCTCCACATATATCGCACAACATTGAATTTTAATAACACACTGTTTGGGGTCCACGCTGATCAACATCAGTTAGGGATGAGAGCTCAACAACGCAATAACTCAACAACGCAACCACGCAACAATAATCCTCAGCGCGGAACCCCACGTCAGCCACGCGCCCAGGGACAATGAATTACCGTTCGCCCCCCTCACTCTGACCATCCCTCGCGGTCTTGCCAGCAGGACCCCAAGATTCGTGGTGGTTGACCTGCGGCAGGTTCGCGCCGGGTTGACGCGGCGTCGGCCTCAGCGGTGAATTTCAAGGTGGCACGCCTTACGCTGCTTGGAATCTGCCGATGCAGGAGCTGCGACATGGGAAAGCGGGCGGGGCGAGCTTGGGCATATCTTTCGACATCGCTGGGCGATTCGCACCTGACCCAGGCGAGGGCTTCCCAGCTGGCTGCTTGCCAGGCTCTCTGGACATGCGGAGGCGCTTCCTTCCATCCTCGAGGAGACCTTGAAAGATGTGGCCCGCCCAAGCTTGACTGATCCGCGTGGTGTCGGGAAGCAGCTCCGGCGTCCTTGCGACGCGGGCCTGCCGTGGACGGAGAGGGCAGCAGCAGCCGGATCCCGAGAGAGAGAGGGAGAGGTCTCGAGGGTGGACAGAACCCCCACCATGACACGTCGATCAGTGAACTGTCCGTGCTCGGTTCTCGAGAGGGCGCCGCGGCCGCCATTTTCCAGGCCTGCGCCCGCCAGGTGTGGGCCCGAGGTGTAGTTTTCCCCAAACCGCGTCTTACTAGAGGGGGTTGTGTCCATCCCCGAAGAGAGGTCAGGGGCGAGGTCAGCGGGAGCTGGCTCAGGGAGGGGGGCCTCGCCCCACATCTCCGCATTCTTCGCCGATCGAGGGGGGTGTCCCAGGCAAGTGTGGTCTTTCGCTACTGGGGCCTATCGCCCACATATCGGTGATGTACCGCCGATTCGAGCCTGACGCTCCCATTTGGGGATGCCAGCCTCTTTTTGGGAGCCTTTCTGGGTCCGCTGCGGAGAGGTAGCTAGAGAGAGAGAGAGAGAAATGAGGGATCCCTAGAAGTTCCTACCTTTTCCCGAGGACCGGCCTCAACCTTGTTTAGCTTGGTTTGGGCCTGTGCTATGGTTTTTGTATCGTTTTGCTTTTTTGTTTGTTGTTGTTGCTGTTGCCGTTGCTCTTGCGAGTGCTGATGCAGCTGTTGTTTTTGTGGTTGTTGTTGATGCTGTTGTTATTGCTGCTGCTGCTTTTGTTGTTGTTGGTGTTGTTGTGGTTGTGGATGTGTTTGTTGTTGTTGTGGTTGTTGTTGTTGTTGGTTGTGGCTGGTTGTTGTTGTTGTCGTTGTTGTTGTTATTGTTGTTGTTGTGGTTGTTGTTGTTGTTGCTGTTGTTGTTATTGTTGTTGTTGTTGTTGTTGTTGTTGTTGGTGTTGTTGTTGTTGTTTTGTTGTTGTTGTTGTTGTTGTTGTTGTTGTTGTTGTCGTCGTCGTCGTCGTCGTTGTTGTTGTTGTTGTTGTTGTTGGCGGTGTTGTTGTTGTTGTTTTTTTGTTGTTGTTGTTGTTGTTGCTGTTGTTGTTGTTGTTGTTGCTGTTGTGGAGCTCTCATTTTAAAGAATACATGTGGTTGATCCCCCTTGCCCGGTAGCCATCGTATTTTTTCACTTAGTGCTTCTCCCGGGGCTCGCACCTGGTTGTTTAGAAGGGAATGCGAGGTGTCACCAAATGGGCCCCCTGGCCCTCGGTTTACAACAACAGTCTCTCCCGCCTGATATCGCTTCACAATGTATAGAGGAATCGCGCCTTCGCGTGGGACTTCCCTGCAATCTACTCAGACTCCGCGCCCTCGAATCACGCTCTCGCTTTGGATATCATCACGATTGATTTTGGAATCGCGCTATCTCTAGAGACTTCCTTGCGATTTATCCAGTAATCACGCTTCAGCAACCCGCTTGCTCGACCTGGCCGATTGGGCCCGCCTTCCCGACCCGCCTGTTAGGGTCTACCCGCCCGATCTGCCCGTCTGGTTCTGCCACGTGTTTTCTGCTCCTAGCCCCCCTCCTGCTGCTCTCTGTCGTGCTTCTACTCCTCCTTTCCCATTGTCTCTTTTTTCCATCCGTCCTTGCTTCCCCTGCCTTAGGGGCTGCTCGAAATTCACGTTGCAGGTAAGAAAGATCTATACCCCCAAGGCGCACGATCGAAGACGAAGAGGGCGGGTATCGAGGGGTTTTACGTATTGAATGACCCGCGAGCAGATCAGATAGCATGATTGTCGTCGTTGCTGTTGTTGAATTCATTTTTGAAGAATAATTATTGTTGATCCCCCCCACCGGTGCATATTGTTGTTTCTCAATCAAAGTGTGCCCTTCGACGCTCGTACTTTGTTTTTTGACAGGGAAAGTTTTCCGAGTTACAACAACGGCTCCCGCCTGAGACTTCCTCACAATTCAGGCAGGACCCCCGCTCCCGCCCGAGACTTCCTCGCATTTTATTCGGGAATCGCGCTCTCGCTCGGGACTTCCTTTCAATTTATTCAGGAATCGCTCTCCCGGAGCTCTGGAGTCGCGCTCTCGCTGGAGACTTGCTTGCAACATACTGAAGGAAAAGCCTTGCGTTTGAATTTCCTGCAATTTGCCCAAGCGCCGCGCTCCCGACACCCAGGCACCCAGGAGTCGCGCCCGTTGTGGCCCCATGTGCATGCCCTTCGTGGCCCCGCTGTCGCCATTTGTGTCCCCCTCATTGTCCTACGTGTCCCTGTTGCTACCCTCAGTGGCCCCATGCTTGCCTTCTGTGGCCCCGCATTATCTGCACTTCGTGGCCCCCGCTCGTTCGCACTCTTCGTGGCCCCATTCGCATTCCCTTCGTGTCCCCGCTGTCGCCCTTCGTGGCCTACTTCGTGCCCTACTTCGTGCCCTTCGTGGCCCTGCTGTCGTTCTCTCTGCCTCTCGCTTTCGCTTGTCGTCGTCGCCGTCGTCTTCGACGTCGTCGTCGTCGTCGTCGTCGTCGTCGTCGTGGTCGGTCCCCTGTCCGTCCCTCTTGGGGTCGGGTCGACGGTCCGCGGCCGCCCCGCCGATCAGCGCTGCCGCTGGCCAGGCCGACGGTCCGCGGCCGCCCCGCCGCTTGCCGGGGCCCGGCCAACAGGGAAGAGGTGTGCCCCACAAAAGGGGTTCGATCGAAGACGAAGAGGGCGGGTACCGAGGGTTTGGGACATACGCGTTATTGGACACTCGAGCATATAAGGGCGAACGGTCTTAAAATGATTGTTGTTGTTGTTGTTGTTGTTGTTGTTTTTTGTTGGTGTTGCTCGAGTTTGTTGATGCTTTGGCTGTTGTTGCTGATGCTGTTGCTGTTGCTGCTGCTGCTGCTCCTGCAGCGGTTGTTGTTGTTGTTGTTGTTGTTATTGTTGTTGTTGTTGTTGTAGTGGTTGTTGTAATGGTTGTTGTTTTTGTTGGTGCGGTTGTTCTTTTTGTTGTGGTTGTTGTTGGTATTGTCCTTATTATTATTGTTGTTGTTGTTGGCGTTGTTGTTTTCGTTGCTGTTGGTGTAATTGCTTTCGTTGGTTGTTGCTGCTGCTGCTGATGTTGTGTGTACATTCCTAACATATAATTGTTGTTGATCCCCGGAAACCGTTCCGCGCGCTCTCGCCTCGACGCCGGCTATATTTTCTCTGAAAACGAAGCTCCCGCTCGAGCGTTTGTTTGACCCTAAATGTGGGCCCTTGGAGGCGCAGCTACGACAACAACGGCTCCCGTTCGACATTTCTCACAATTCACCCCAAGACACCCTGGCCAGAGAGGCTCCCGAATTCAGGAACGGCGCTCTTGCTCGAGACTTTCTCGCAATTCAATTCAGTTGGCGGAGGCCCAGCCACGACGACAAGGGCTCCTGTTCGATAATTCCTCACGATTTACTCCGAGAGCCCCTGGCCAAGAAGGCCCCCGAACTCAGAAACGGCGCTCTCGCTCGAGACTTTCCCGTGATTCAGGCAAGTTGGTGGAGGCCCGGACACGGCGACAAGGGCTCCCGTTCGATATTTTCCATCGGTATTCCGAGAGCCCCTGGCCAGAGAGGCCCCCGAACTCAGGAACGGCGCTCTCGCTCGAGGCATTCCTCGCACTTCAGTCAGTGGCCGACAAGGAAGAGATTCCCTTCGAAAAGGGGTGCAGTCGAAGACGAAGTGGGCGGGTATCGATGGTTGGGTTATACAGAATGCAAGACACGCGTGCCAGTAAGAGCGAATAGTCTTAAACTGATTGGTGTTGTTATTGTCGTCGTCGTCGTCGTTGTTGTTAATGTTGTTGTTGTTGTTGTTGTTGTTGTTGTTGTTGTTGTTGTTGTTGTTGTTGTTGTTGTTGTTGTTGTCGAACACTAATTACGAACTAACACTCATGGTTTATCCCCCTCTGGTGACCATTTTGTATTTTTTAATTGAAGTGCTTCCTCCGGGGCTCGCACCCTCTTTTACAGGCAGAGGCATGGGGCTCAAACTGGGTTGTTGGCCCCCGGATTGCAACAGCAAGGGCTCCCGCCTAAATTTTCCTCACCACAATTTTGCCAGGACCCCCGCTTCCGCCTGAGACTTCCTCGCGTTTTACTCAGGCATCGCTCTCTCGGCGCTCTGGAGTCGCGCTCTCGCTGGAGACTTGCTTGCCATTTACTCACAATCGCGCTCTTGCGTTGGAATCCCCGCAATTTACTCAAGCGCCGCGCTCCCGACACTTCTGCACCCAAGAGTCGCGCTCACGCGCAGGGTTCCCTTGCAGCTTATTCAGGAATCGGGATCTCGCTGCCCTTCGTGGCCCCATGTGCATACCCTTCGTGGCCGCGCTGTCGCCCTTTGTAGCCCCCTTGCTGCCCTACGTGGCCCCGTTGCCATCCTCAGTGCCCCCCTCGCTTCCCTTCGTGGCCCCGTTGCAGCCCTTCGTGGCCCTCGCTGTCCTTCGTGGCCCCGTTGCCACTCTCAGTGGCCCCCTCGCTTTGTCTCGTGGCCCCGTTGCAGCCCTTCGTGGCCCCCTCGCTGCCTTTCGTGGCCCCGTTGCAGCCCTTCGTGGCCCCCTCGCTGCTCTACGTGGCCCCGTTGCAGCCCTTCGTGGCCCCCTCGCTGCACTACGTGGCCCCGTTGCCACCCTCAGTGGCCCCCTCGCTGCCCTTCGTGGCCCCATATACGTATGCCCTTCGTGGCCCCCGTTCGTTCGGGCCCGTCGTGGCCCCATATTCATGCGCATCGTGGCCCCGCTGTCGCCCTTCGTGGCCCCGTTGCTGCCCTTCGTGGCCCCGTTGCTGCCCTCAGTTGCCCCGTCCTTGCCCTCTGCGGCCCAATCTGCGTATGCCTTTCGTGGCCCCCGCTCGTTCGTGCCCGTCGTGGCCTCATATGCATGCACTTCGTGGCCTTCAGGGGTCGTGGTGCAGATCGGGCAGCCCCCCCCCCTTGACGCCCGAAGGGTAGCAGGAACGCACGAGGATCCTGCTCGTCGACGCTCGATCCTCGAGCCTCCACGGCCGTGCCCGGCCCGGCCGAGGCCCGCCGCCCGGAGAGGGTCTTCGTGGGGGTGTGCTGGCAGGCCGACAAGGTGGAGGAGGGCCCTGCCGGGGTGCACCTGCGACGCGCTCTGCGCGTGGCGGAACCAAGAAGCAAGAACAAAACACAGGAGGATCTGGGAAAAGGAAGCAGGAGGCAGGAGGCAGGAGGGATACGGGAGGAGAAGCGTCCACCGTGCTATATTCAAATCGAGAACCCAACACAGGAGGCTTCGGAAGAAAATATCACGATCTTACAGATCTCATCATCATCATCATCATCAGCATCAGCATCAGCATCAGCATCAGCATCATCATCAGCATCATCATCAGCATCAGCATCATCAGCATCACCATCAGCATCAGCATCAACAGCATCAGCATCAGCATCAGCATCAGCATCAGCATCAGCATCAGCATCATCAGCATCATCAGCATCAGCATCATCGTCATGCTGCTGATGATGGTGATGCTGACGATGGTGGTGGTGGTGGTGATGGTGTGGTGCTGATGGTGATCGTGATGGTGGTTGTGAAGATGGTCGAGTTTGTGGTGATGGTGGCGATGCTGGTGATGGTGATGGTGATGGTGGTGGTGATGATTGTTATGGTGAAGGTGATGGTGATGGTGATGGTGGTGGTGGTGATGGTGATGGTGGTGGTGATGGTGATGGTGGCGGTGGTGGTGGTGATGGTGATGGTGGTGGTGATGGTGATGGTGGCGGTGGTGATGATGCTGATGATGATGTTTGACGTGGTGATCATGATGGTTGTGAGGGTGATGATGGTGATGAGGGTGATGATGATGGTGATGAACAGTAGCGGTTGGAGGGGCGGATGGATTTGGGCAGGACGCGGGGCAACGGCAGGGAAGGGGTTCGTCTTCTGCTCCCTTTACCTCCATCGTCCTGTACATTTCTCTCCGCTCTCTTTCTCTGTTTCTGTCGTTATTTCTTTATGTATTCCTTTCAGTTTTTGTTTTGATGTTCCTCATGCTTTATCGTTATTTTGTTATCCCGCTCTCTCTCTCTCTCTCTCACTCTCCGTCTCTCCCTCCCTCCTTCCGCCCCATCTTTCCATACACCTCTTTTTCGATCTCCCTTTATGGTTATCCGAGAGGCTTACGCCATTCCGCCGACCGCCAGAAGAGGGAAGAAGTCCACGGTGAAGCTTTTGGAGGCCTTTTGGAGACCGTTTGGGAGCCTCTGGGGGGCTCTTTTGGGCCTTTTGGGGCTTTGGGGGCTTTTTGGCGGGTTCTTGGGCGTCTGCCGGCGGTCTCGGTGGCCCTTTTGGGACAGAGGGTTCGAAATTTCAGTTTCATTTACATCTTCTGGGCCCCTCTTGAGCCCTGTTGGGGCCCCCATAAGCCCTCTTGGGCGCCTCTTGGGCCGTCTTGTGGCCCTCTTGGGCCGTCTTGGGGCCCTCTCGGGGGCTGCTTTCGCCGTCTTAGAGCAATCTCGGAGGCTTCTCGAGCCGTCTTGGACGCTGTGACCGTCTTGAACGAACCGAAAATGCACATGTCCCAAAGTCAATGTGATGATTTTTGCTTTTTGGGGGCCCTTTTGGGAGTACCCTCTTGGGGCGTCTTGGAGAGGCTTCTTTGGCGGTCTTGAGGCCATATTCTGTGTTTTTGCGGTCTCCTCGGCGTGTTCGAACCCAGCTTGCGCCAGCTTGGATAACATCTTGGGCATCTCGGAGGCCACGGCGTGTAGGTTTCGAGGCTCCGGGGGCCGCCGGAGGCCCCCAGGGTGCGTTGGCGAGCTCGTCACCCCCCCCCCCTCAAACGCCAGTTCGGACCATCTCACACCCCTCCTCACCCCCGGGAAGCGTCGGTCGGCGAACCTCATGCACATCGCGATTTAAGCAGATCCTCCATACGTGTGTGTATTCATGTGTGCATCTGTGTATAATGTGGTGCCGACTTGAGCCGAGCTCAGGCATCGGCGATTGTGGCGAGCTTCTTTGCACCCACGATGCGGTTAAAGCTGCTGGGGGAATGACAAGGGAGACAAGGCAGGTAGGAGGGATGATGAAGAAAGAGAGCGGGAAAGGGAAGACGAGGAGAAGGAGAGAGGACGAGGGAAAAAGGTGACGAAAACTACGATCGGGAGTGGAGCAAGAGGAGGGGAATGAGGAAGAGGAGGAGGAGGAGGAGGAAGAGGTGGAGAATGAGAAAGAGGAGGAGGAGGGGGAGGAGGAGGAGGAGGAGGAGGAGAAGGAGGCCGAGGAGGATGTACGCACACCAAGGTTGGAAGGTCAGCTGACAAGTCTGGCAGCTCTTGTCGAAGACGCCTACGGCGAGTCGCCGCTGACCCTGCCTTTGTGGGAGCGACTATGTGGCCAAACGGTGGACTTGAATCTGGCCAAGCTGTTGCAATATGTGTTCCCCCGCTCGTTGTGGAAACCATTTGGGGAGCACCTTGGGAAAGGGGAGGGAGCGAGGAGGAACGGAGGCAGGAAAGCGAGGACGAAGGGGGAGGACGAAGAGCAGAAGGAGGAGGAGGAGGACGAAGAGCAGAAGGAGGAGGAGGGGGAGGAGGAGGAGGAGGAGGAGGAGTCTGCTGACTTCACCAGAGTCGTGCTTCCCAGCATGCTCGACGAGGGCCTCTTGGTCGCCTCTTGCGAGCCTCTTGTGGCCATTGGGGGCCGCACTGGCGCAGTCTTGAGGCCATCTTGGGCCACCTACGCCGTCGTGGAGTGCATCTTTCTTAGGCCATCTCGGATACCGTGCATGGAGGCAGGGACCCGTCTTCAGGGAGGCCATATTGGCCCGTCTGGGCCGTCTTGGGGGCCACCTTGGGGGCCTCTTGGGCTGTCTTCGGGCGATCTTGGTGGTCTGTTGGGCCGCCTAGGACACAGCTAAGTCCGACAACTCGAAGATGCTGCAATCCGTCAAAAATGAGCGACAATTGCATTGATTTGGTTTCTCCGGAGCCTCCCGAAGGCTCTCTTGGACCGCTCTCGGGGCGTCTTGGGAGCATCTTGGCCGTCTTGGCCGTTTTCCGTCTTCGAGGCCCTCTTATAAGCATCTTGGACGGATCTGATTTTTTGTTCAGAGGCCTTTGGCCCATTCTGCCACGGTGCCTGCGTTGTGGACATGAAGCCTAGTGGATGTTCGTTGGGATCTCGTGGGAAGCTTCTCGGGGGCCTCTTTGGAGGCAGTCTGGACGCTTCTTGGGGGCCGCCTGTGGGCCTCTTTGGGCCTCTTGGGGGCCTCTTGGGGGCCTCTTGGGGCCTCCTGGGGGCCTCTTGGGGGCATCTTGGGGCCTCCTGTGCGTCTCCTGAGGCCTCCTGGAAGGCGTGGATTTTCGGTTCGTGTTCCCTCCTTTGGGCCCCCGTTGGGGCCGACTTGGGGCTCTCTTGGGCCGTTTTGGGCGCCTCTTGGGCTGTCTCGGGGTTCCCTTGGAGGCTTCTTGGGCCGTCTTGGGGCGGCCTTGGGGAGCTCTAGGGCCGTCTGGGAGCGTCGGGAAGCCCACAAGGCGAGAACGCTCAAACCCTTACAGAACCGAAAGGGAAATCAATGATTTGAGTCTCTGTAGGCTTTTTGGATACTTCTTTGGGACGTCTTGGAGGCGTCTCGGGCAATCTTGAGGCCATTGACAGCGTCTTGGAGCGATGTTTTGGCTAGTCGGGGCTCTCTTCGAACGTTTTGGGCGGTCACAGCGTCCAGAGCCTGCAGGAAGCACCGAACTCACAGGAGCCAGCTCGGGAAACCCGGGTACGGCCCAGGACGGCCCAAGACGGCCCGGGAAGCGGCCGGTCGGGGCCCTTCAAGATTTGTTGCAGCAGCTGCACGGCCTCAATTTCTCAGTGTTGCATGAGCCTTGGGGCACTCCACTTCGTGCCAGAGGCACTGTGGCGGATTTGTGGACGCCAGGATGTGCCAAAGGTCGTTGGCAACATGTTGGAAGGGCCAACCTCGAATCAAGTGTTGAGATTCATCACGCCAAGCACGCTACGGGGGCGGCGGATCGAAGACGCGTACGGCGAGACACGCCCCCTGTCTGTCTGTAAACGCCGATGGGGCCGAACGTTGGGCCAAAGTTTGGCCAAGCTATTAGACAAGGTAGTCCCCCAGCCGTTGTGGAAATCCTTCGGGGGACACTCGGAAGAGGAAGAGAGGAACGAGCAATGGGCGGAGAAGGTGGAAGAGGAGGGGGAGGAGGAGGCGGCAGTCGAATTGATCTCTTGGGGATCTCTCATGGCCTCCCGGGGGCCTCTTGTGGGTCTCCTGGTGGCTCTGGGGCCGGAGCACCATCTTGGGTTATCTTGGCCGTCTTGGAGGGCATATTGGACCGTCTGGACGTCTGGGAGGCCATATCGGGTTATCTTGGCTGATTGGGAGGCTATTTTGGACCGTCTTGGAGACGTCTTGTGGACGTATTGTGGGTCTCGTGGGCCGTCTGGGGGGCTATCTTGAAGGTCCCGTGGGCCGTCTGAGGTTGTCGAAAGCCCTCGAGGCTGAGAACGCTGAATTCACTGTCCGAACGCAGCTTGCCTCTTGGTGCCCTCTTGGAGTTCTCCTGCAGGCCTCCTGGGGCGTCTTGGAGGTCTCTTGGCCCGTCGTGGGGACATCTTGGCCGTTTGGGAGGCGTCTTGGCTTGTCTTGGAAGTCGTATTCTTGGAGGCGGGTGGTAGCGATTTTTGTTTGGGGGGGCCTCGGTGGTTTCCGTGTGGCGCGGGTTGGGCCGGACGGAGGCCATGGGAATTGTTTGGGCTGGGGCAGCACGAAGTACAAACCTCGACACGCCAAGCACCCGTGTGCAAACAAAGGAGGCGGCGGATTCGGTGACCGTCCGCCCAACCCGCCACAGTGTCTGGGTCGTGGACAAGCCTCTTGAGGACTCTTCGGGTGCGTTTTTGGTGCACATCGGGGGCCTTTCCTGGAGCTTCTTCGAGATATCTTGGGCGTTTCTTGGGGGCCTCTTGTGTGCCTCTCGGGGCCTCCTGGGAGCCTCTCGGGGGCCTGCTGGCGGTCTCGGGCCACCTTGTGGGAAAGGGCTCGAAATGTCAGTTCGTGTTCCCTCTTTGGCCCCTCCTGATGCCATCTTGGTGCCCTCCTGGGCCCTCTTTGGGGCCTCTTGGGGGCCTCGGGGGCCGTCTTGGGGTGATTTGGGGAGCCTTGTGCGCCGTCTTGGACTCTCCTCAGACCGGAAAGTCGAGCATGCGAAAAGCACACAGCATTTAGATTTCCCCGAATTGACTTCGCCTACTGGTTTCTTATTCTTTTGTGGAAGAGCAGGTGGGTGCGACGAGGTTCCTCGAGGGAGTCCCCAGGATTCTTTGGATTTCTTGGTTTAGGTTCTTTGCCTGGGTTCATCGGGGTTCCCCAGGGTTGTTCGGGTTCTTCGTCCGGGCTCATTGCTTGGGTTCCTCGGGGTTCCTTGCTCGGGTTCCTCGGGGTTCTCCAATCAATGCCAAGCAGCGATGCCAAGCACTACAAAGCAAGTGCCCAGCAACGCCAAGCAACGCCAAGAAACGCCATTCCATGCTCAGCATCGCCAACACATGCAATGACAAGAGGTGCAACGCAATGCCAAGC